CATGCATTCATTCAAAAATGTATTATCAAGCCCACACCATATGCCAGGTGCGTTAGTGAGGTATACAAAAATACCAATGGCGCACGCAGTGCCTGCCCTAGACTGCTCTCAGGCTCAGAGTCAGGGTGTGATGATTCCGTTAGAGTTGGAAGTCTGAGCCCTGACGATCCCTTCCCTTTGCCCGGTTTCAACATCTGCCAGAGGGATATTACTACACTGATGGACCCTTCCCTAACTGTGGTCAGATGTACATGATGACTATGCAAGAAAGGCCTTGGAAATTAGAACTGCTCTCTGATCAAACAGTACTGATGCATTACAAATATCACAAAATACATAATATTTGGCCAGGCATTGTCTATACTGTAAATCAGGGGTCTTCAAACTTTTTCAACAGGGGGCCAGTTCACTGTCCCTCAGACCGTTGGAGGGCCGGACTGCGGGCCTGGGATGAGTCGGCTGCTAAGCAGGACAGGCAGCGGCAGCAAAACACCCAGCGGGCTGGATAAATGTCCTAGGCAGGCTGCATGTGGCATGCAGGCCATAGTTTGAGGATGCCTGCTGTAAATGTTTTGGTTTTGAGCCAAACAAACAGTAGGTGTTCAATAAAATACTGAATGAAAAAGAAGGCAAACCAGATTTGCTGACAACACAAAGTCGTCACCCGAAAAGCCATTGTAGAAAGGTGACATCAGCAAGACGACCAACCAGAAAACCACAGTGCTCACCCCTCCTGGAGAGCAAAATGACAAACAACTACATTCTAATGAAAACAGCTGAGGGAGAGCACCAGCCACACTAGGGAGTAAGGGAAGCCCTGATTAGCACCAAAGCTTTGACGGCCACACAGAGAAGGGAAGGGAAGTGGGGCTTCTACTGCCCCTCCCAGACCCATTGGGAACTTGGCGGAACCTCTCCCACGGCAAGGAGGTTAGCAAGAGGACTCCAGAACCCCGAACCCCAACAGACCTCGCCACAGGGGTCCCCTGCAGTCCTCACAGGCCAGCTAAGGAAGCTGCCTGAAGTCCACACAGCTATACCATCTTGGAATTGGAACCACGGAAGTGTGCTCTGCTCCAAGCCAGACTTCCCCAAGCTGAGCTGCCGACAGCTCTTATACTGTTGTCTGCTGACCATACCCCAGCCCCCACCCCCAGAAACACTCAGAGGTGGGGCTGCTCCACCTACCCCTCTCACTCACGCCCCCCTGGGCTGGAGCTAAAGCTGTATCCTGCCTCCCCAGAAAACATCACCTTGGCAGCACAGACCAGTCACACCTCCCAGTGCCTAAGTTGAAACCACTTCCTGCATCTCAGGGAAATGGTGTCTGGGCAACACCAAACAGTAGTGTCCCTAAAGCCTGAGCTGAAACAGCACATCCCCTGGGGCAGCTGTGTCCCGACTGGGAAGAGCAGCTGCATAGCCTCAGGCTGAGCTGAGGCCTCCTTACTCTAAAGCAAGAGTCCTCCAACTTTTAAAACAGGGGGCCAGTTCACTGTCCCTCAGACTATTGGAAGGCTGCACTGCGGGCCCTGGGACAAGTCGGCTGCTAAGCAGGACAGGCAGCAGCAGTAAAAACACCCAGTGGGCCAGATAAATGTCCTAGGCGGGCTGCATGTGGCCTGTGAGCCGTAGTTTGAGGAAGCCTGCTCTACAGGGCCAACAACCCTGGTATTCTGCATGCCTGGAGCTGAACTAGCACCCCCCTGAGCTAAGCTGCTGAGATACCCCCACCCCCTGAGGAGCAGAACAATCTCTGAGCTGTTCCCGGGCCACAGGGCCACAAGCACAACTGTGCTCCGCCATCCTGGGGTACTTGCTGCCACAACACCTGGCCTCACACAGTCCATACTATCCATATGGTCTGGGCTACGAGCAAGACTCACCATTGCGGGGTCTAGAGTCACTGCTGCGAGGTGCCTATACCTCAGGACACTGTGCTGAGCAGATACGTATGGAGAAGATCTCAAGGGAATAAAGAGGCAACAAAAGCAAAAATAAATAAACGGGATTACAGAATACTGAAAAGCAGTAATCAACAAAGGGAACAGACAATACGCAGAATGGGAGAAAATATTTGCAAACTATTTATCCAATAAGGGATTAATGTTCTGAATATACAAGGAATTCAACAACAACAAAAAAACAAATAGTTCAATTAAAAATGGGCATGTGAGCTGAACAGAGATTTCTCAAAAGAAAACACAGAAATGGCCAACAGGTATACGAAAAATTGCTCATCACCACTAGTTATTAGGGAAATACAAACGGAACTGCAATAAGATATCGTCCCACCCTCGTTAGAACGGCCACCACGGCAAAGAGGAAAAAACAGCCAGCGCTGGAAAGCGGCAGAGAATGGGGACCTCTTCACACTCTGTTGGTGGGAACGTAAATTTGTGCAGCTATTATGGAAAACAGTATGAAGTTTTTTCAGAACACTAAAATAGACCGATAGCACAATCAAGTGATTACAGCTGACAGTAAGTTAGGGCATGCTTGAGAGAAACTGAAAGCGTGAAACAAGAATGTTCCTAACACAAAGAATGACAAACTTGTATGCCTGACACAGACCCAATCACCCTGACTTGATGATTACACCCTGTATGTCTATATGAAAACATCACATGTACCCTACAAACATGTACAACTATTACGTACCTGTAATAATTAAAATTAAAAAATTTAAAAGTAAAAATTAAAAACAAAAAAAGAAAAGAAGGGAAGAAGGGAGAAAGGGGAATCTGCCTTGTCTTTACATAGTTCCCAGGAGCTACGCTGCGTGGAGTGTCACAGAAAGAGACGTGTTCTGCTGATGAAAAGAGGAGGCGAAGGAGGCCGTGGAAGGAGCACTGTAGAACTAAAGGTTGCTGTTTACATGCCCACTACAAACTGCGTGTGCCCCAGCTCACTATCCCCGCAGTCTGCTACGTGCCTACTTCTCTGCCAGTCCTCTGCTCAGAGAGCAGGCGCCCGGCAGTACCTCACCCTGCCTCCTTCATTCACAATCTCACCCACAGCCTCCATCCCTCGCAGGCTCAAATCAGAAACACCTCCTCTGACAACAAGTCTTTTCAAGGGGACAGAGAAAAGCTGAGTAGGGTTTCAGTTACATGTTGTTATTCTGAATAACTATTCAACTCCTCAGTGTAGTATTAAGTAATTTAACATATTACTTGGTTAACTAACCTAGAAAACAGAGATTGGGGAGATAGAAAGTAACATTTAAATATTTATAAAAACTGAAGAGTTATTTTCACACTGACACTAGAACAGTAGGTAAAGTTTTCCACCTTCTGAGCTGTGTATTCAATTTCCCACAAAGATGGCATATTCTGGTACTGTGTCATTATCCCACATTACACAGCAAGTTGAATTGGCATCTTCACTTATAATGTGCCTGAGCAAAGCTCAGCCACACTTTTGGAATTGTCAAACATCTCAAATTGTTTTCAAATGTTTGAGGTTTATAATAATTGAAATATGCTATGTCAAGCTTTGATCTTGATAGTAAATACCAAGTGTTTTGAGAAGAAAATGCCTGTCTCTGATTTCTCTCATTCAGTCCCTTCTTCTCAATCTGTACACACATGCACACACATACAGACACAGTCATAGAGACATACATTAAAAACTATATTTCAGTATAAAATCCTTCTGTTTAGAAGATTTCTTTCTATTACAAAAATTGTGTATGAAAACTTCAGAAACTTTTAAATTGAGACAGAGTCTCACTATGTCGCCCTCAGTAGAGTATGGTGGCGTCATGGCTCACAGCAACCTCAAACTCTTGGGCTCAGGTGATTCTCTTGCTTCAACCTCCCTAGTAGCTGAGACTACAGGGGCTCACCACAACACCCAGCTATTTTTTTGTTTGTTTGTTTGTTTAGCAGGCCCACGCCGGGTTTGAACCCACCAGCCCTGGAGCACATGGCCAGCACCCTAACCACTGAATTATGGGTGCCCAACCAAAACTTTAGAGAAACTTTCAAAGGGAAAATTACCTACATTTTTAGAACTATAACATTTTAAATACAATTATTCAAGTACTTTAAATATATATAGCATCTTGTTACAATAATCTCCCCAAAAATAGTATTTCTGTTTTTAATATGAAAGTTACTTATACAATCAAAATTATACATAAAATTAACTACCACTGTAAAAGCAATTTTCACACAGATGAAAAGTTGAGTTGAGGCTAAATACAAATTCATTTAAAACAAAATCAAAGATATTAACATGTGTCCAATTTGAGAAAAAAATGCACCTGACTTCACATCCCTTACGAACCCACATTTCTATGTTCCTTATCTCTATGTTAAAAAGAAATACATTTAAGGGACTAAGGATACAACATACAAAGGGAGCCTTCTGGTACAAAGTCGCTATGCAGAAAACTAAAAACAAAATACGCTTAAAATCCTAGGAAACCAAAAGCTAAAACTGGCTCTCCATTCTTCCCCTCATTTCTCTAGAGTTTAAATCAAAAAGGCATCCTTAGTCCACTGCTGAAAGCCATATAATGATAACTGCTCATTTGAGCTGGAATGTGAGTGAAAGTCAAACTCCAAATCAAGAGTTCTTTCCTTATATAAAAACTGTTTTAAGACTTCTTTTGTAAAATATGATAATATAAATATATCTTTGAAGCATATACAAATGATGTTTTTGTCATCATTAATATTTGTTAAATAAATTGAAGTATAATATTGACTTCTGCATTTTTCAATGTGGTCATACCTCAATCAACCGAATTCTCAAGGATTATTTGCAAAGTTTTTTTTTTTTTCAGTCAAGGATCTTTCTTTTGTATACTATTTATTTCTCCTCTTTCAAACTTTATTTTTTTAAACAGAATAAGACTCTGACAGATCTAAAATGCCAATATTCATCTCCAGGTATTTTGCTTTCTAGGGTGCCTGACATGCTTATTCTTTTGCCATCAGCCACCCAAAGTCTGCTGACAACCAGTGCACACCCCTCTGAGAGGGACTCACCTTCTGATTTGTTGTTTTTCCTCTTCAGCCATTTTTCCACAGTCTCTGTACTAACACTTTCAGACACAAATTCATCTAATACCTGGGGGTGAAGAGAAAGATATGCCTTCACTTTTTCATCTGTCAAACCTGTAAAAGAATTGGAAAAGAATAAAATTCACCTATACAACATCTTCATATGTGAAAAACAGAGTATAATGGCGCATTAGGCTAAAATCCAGTGGCCTCTAATCTCCTGGCGAAGGCCTGGAGAAAGTAAGAGTAGACAGAAACAAAAATGAAGTTTCTGTCTGGGGTGAAAGTGAAGATCTGGAAGTGGGGGGTGGTGACTGGCCAAAACTAGGAATATGCACATACAACTCATGCCACTAAATGGTATATTTGAAAGGGTTAAAACATTTTTACATTATATATTATACCATAATAAAAAAGATTTTTTTTTTATTGTTGGGGATTCGTTGAGGGTACAAGAAACCAGGTTACACTGATTGCATTTATTAGGTAAAGTCCCTCTTTACAACTGTGTCTTGCCCCCAAGTGGTGTGTCACACACCAAAACCCCACCCTCTTCCTCCTTCCCTCCTCTCTGCTCTTAATAAAAATGAATTTCGAAAAAACGTAAAGTTAGGTTATTAACAATTTTGACCTATAGCTATTATATCCCATTACATAGCTGTTTTCCAACAATATGTCACTGCCGCATGTGAATTGACACCATGATCCAATGTTGTACGCGAAGCCTTAAAAAGCACATATTTCTTTTTTGTAAAGAGTTATCATTGATTTAATACTTAAAGCAAGTGAAATCCTAGCAATAACAGCAAACAGAAGAAACTATCACTGGAACATCATAGGTGCTAAAAACATGTAATGAATAAATCCTCATATTTTATTACCTTCTAACACAAATTCTTCATTTTTTGAAAGGCACTCAATCCAATGGCATGACAAACATTAGGTTCATTATAATCTTGACGTTTGATCTTTGCCATTCTATGTATGAGTCCGTTTCACTGAAATACTTCTCCCAGTCTAATGGTAAGCACTGAACATACACAGGACTCCCACAGCACCCTTGCAAGCTGCTGCTTCCGGCTGGCGTGCTGTCTCATCGACCCGTCCCAGACAGAGACAGGCTGCGGGTAGTTACGCCCCTCAGGGATAGCGATGACGTTTACTACTGTGTCTCCACTGAGAGTTGTTTCAATAAACTACCCTCCTTAGGGATGGTTAGGTTAAAAAGGCCATGAAAGATTGTACTTCAAGACAGAAAAGAAGGAAGGAGGAATATATTTATGACTCATGGGAGCAACCTATATGTATTCCCAAACAGGCAAAGACAAAAATTCGTATGTGTTCATTCATTCTGCTGGGAACTAAAGTCATAACCGTTAGGATTCTATAACAAAGTGGTATAACTGAGAAGAAAAGATGATTTCATTCAATGAAATCTGTACTTAAGTAGTCAATTTAAACACACACACACACACGTGTGTAAATAATAGTAGAAAAGAAAATGAGACCTTTGTCTATAGTCACTCTGCAACAGAGCCCCAGCAATGAAAAGTTCAGTTGGAGAAATTCTATTGCCCGACGTGCTGAAGAGATGCATTAAAGAAACAGAGTGCTCTCTCTCTGCTCTCTCAACAGAGCTGCTCTCAGTCCTTAGGTACAGAAGCACAGGGAGTGGTAGTAAGCTGATAGCCTAACTGACTCTAAAGGCAGACACTGCAAATTTCCTACTGTCTTTGGCTGGGTCCTCCATAGAGGGACACAGTCAACACTTGGTTCTTAAAATTCCTCTCATCACTTCCATGACACAAGACTATGCAAGTCGTACCCTAACTTTCTTTTTTTTTTTTTTTTTTT